TTAATAAATATTATAAAGATAATTTTATTTGTGGATTTGATTAACAAGTAGGAACATTAACACCATGTAATATTGTTTTGTCGATATTTTAAAAAAAAATATAACTTTTAAAAAAGTGGGCTGGCCCGGCAAACCTGTAGCCCACGTACTTGTGGGTTGGGCCGACCGTTTTCTGGCCCACACCAAAAATGGGCTAGCCTGACCTGGCCCGTAAAATGTCAAAGTCTGTATGGGTTAGCCCGGATGGGGTGGGCTAGCCCATATTGACAGCTCTAATGCTCTCCAATGCAACAAAGAAGAAGAAATCGATGATAGATAAATGGAGGAATTCTAAAGAATTTCATATCAATGTATCATGTATGTCAATCACTAATTAAATTTGGTTGGCGTTCCTTATTTATGTTATTTTCATATTCTTTTAACGATTTCAATAAGTGTTAAATTTTGTAAGAATAAAATCAATATATATATGAAAATGATGATGAATACATATCATCATAATTATCATTCACAAATTACATTTTTTGTTAATTTATATGCAAAGTAGTATTCCTTAGCGTGATCATTTTGATTATAGTATGATCATTTGACAATTGATTATTCTTTAGTTAAATCATTTTCAGTATTATTATGATTATTTAACATTTAATTTACTTGCACAATATTCTCCTCTCTTTTAAATCCTAGAAAAAATGACCCGTGTCAGCACAGGCCCAACATTAGTATATAAAACAACTTTCACATATAACAAACATAAAAAATTATATTTGTATGCTATAGATATAGTTTGCATAATTGCGCTCCATAACATTTTATGTTTGCTATGGAGCTTTTGATTTGTATAATTCGCTAGAAACATCCAATTTTATACAAATTGTTCAGTTTTGTATAAATTTATTTATATATTGTAATTTGTATAATAAGATCTGTATTTGATAACTATAAGTGTATATGACGAAAATATATGTATATACACTTTTCTCTCGCTTTATACAAACACAAACGCAGTTTATACATTTTATACCGAAATGTATAAAATGGTTAATTGTATACCAAAAATGGCTAATTGTATACCAAATCAAATGGCAAAAAAAATAGAATGTTTGCTGCGAATTACAATTAAAATAAACTATGGCTATAACATTTAATTTAAACTAATAGTTTGCTATTTCATACAATTTTCCCTAATATTACTAATGTTCTAAATAAATCTAAATTCCTAATTATTTAGGAGTATAGTATGCATTTGCAAAAGATGTTTTCAAATAGTCAAATTCCAGAAACTAAAATAATGACCACATTGAATTGAAACAGTTCAATTATTAGGTTTCTTTAATTAAAACTACAGGTTAGATAGATTTGTATTTTATAAAAATAAATTATAAAATGTTAATAAAATTGACCATTAGTATTTCATATAATTATTTAATAGAAAAGATATATTATACGAAAATATTTTTTTACTTAATTTGCTAAAAATGATCAAGTGTAAGAGCAAATATTTTTATCTAAGATTTAAATTAAAAAACAATTATATATGTTATTAATTATAATTAATTGATATGAATTGATTTCACAAAAAAGCCCAACAAATTGGAGAATAACATTTTCATCGTATTACTGGTTTTCCTCATTATTTATTTATTTCCACAAATTACTTTCTCAATATAACTTTGAAGTATATATTCTCTTGTTCAATTTTATTTGTCACATTTATCTA